TTAAAGGGCCTATTCTTACGAAGATAACTTTTTAGTACGCTTATTTTAATTATTTTAATACGTAAATATTAATCAATTAAATCCTTTATAGGTAATTAGTATAGGGATAACCGGGGATTATATATATTAATTTACTTTAATATAATTTAAAAATTAAAATAAATAATATTTATCCTTAGAAATAAAGATTTTATTTCCTTCTTATTTAATTAATACTTCTATATTATAGGTATATAATAATTTATATTATTATTTAAATATATTAAAGTAAAATAGTAATAATTTACCGTTATCGATAATAATTTTATTACCGCGGGTTATAAATAATATTAGTATTAATTAATTATATTAAAAAGTAAATATATTTAATGCCTAAAATAAAAAGTTATATTTATAGCGCCTTAACTACTTAAATTTATTAATTAAATAGATTATACATATACGCGAAGTAATTTTACTATATTTAATAATATAAATAATATATCGGTTATTAATATATTAAACCGATACTTCGTAGAGATTAATTAAATTATTACGAATTGAAATATTATATAATTTGAACGAGCCGTTATTAAATTCGTTAGGCGATATAATTTTCTAATTATAATTAAAATTATTCGAAGTATAATAGCCTATTTAAATCTTTTTAATAAATATTAATTATTAATCGATATACTCCGCGATAATACGAAATTATAACCCCTTAAATTTATTAACGAAAATTTAATAGGTTCGTTCAAATTCGTCGACCGTACGGGTATAAATTATATATTATTATATAAAAAATAGGTTAGTATATATATTAGCGATTTTATTTTAAATTAAGGGCTTTAAGGAGAATATAATCTTCGTTACTATACGGACTTTTTTATAAGCGGTATTAAATTTATAGATATTATATTAATTTAGGTCTTCGTTAAGGTCGTTACGAATTAATATAGTCGAAGAGCTATTAAATAAAGCGTCGTTAATATTATTATCGATTAACTCGTTGTTAAATTCGCTATTAAACTTTAATAATAGTATTAAATCTCCCGGGCGGCGTTAATATTTTTTAATTATTTTAATAACGTTATAATTAATATATTAAACGTAATGTTGGAGTATAATATTAGGTAAGTAGGTTTATAATATTTTAATTAAATATTTATCGCCGTTAGTAATAATAATATTAAGGAGAAGTATATTTATAGTTTGCGTAATTTATTTAATTTGCGTAATAAAGTACGTAAATCCTTTAATATTTTCGTTATTTAAAATTATTTAAAAAATAGGTATTAAAATCTTTTTATAAATTAAAACTATATTTTATATTATAGTTAAATAGTAATAGTTAGTTTTATACGTTGCGTCGATTAAAATAGTAAAAGGATTATATTATTATATTTTGCGCTAGTAATTTAGAACCTAAAATATATTAAAAAGTATAATCTTTTATTTATTATTTTAATTAATATTATAATAAATAACCGATTCGTTATTTTCGAAAAAGCGAATAAATATTTATATATTTTAATAGCCCTTATATAATAACCTCTTTAATTAATTACGTATATTAGTAATATTTTTATACGTTAAAGGATATTATAGGTATTCCTTTTTAATTAATAAGTAAATAGAACGGATATTGAATTTTTATTTTTTAAAGAAGGTAATTATTTATAATATAGCCCATATATTTAAATGTAACGCTCTCTCTTGTAAAAAAAAATAATAATCGAAATTTTTTAATAGTAAGTAATTATCGTATATATTATTTATTATTTTAATAAACTACTTCCAATCGTTAATAGTAGTTACGCTAATAAATAGTCGAAATGGGTAATAGTTTACTTTTTTACAAAAGGTATAGAATCGTTTATTACGGGGATTAGTCGAATTTTAAGGATTCGGGGCGGTATAATTGTATTAATAAATATAATAATTAATTTTTTTAAAAAAAGGGTATTAGGGGTTATAAATTTTATATTTATCGGACTATAGGATTATAATTCCAAATCGATAATAACGGTAGAAATTAATTAATTTATTAAACGCCCTATTGAAGGTATTCTAAATAACGGTAAATAAAATATAATCGACGTTTTATAGTTCGCGATTATATAATATAATTAATACGAAGGTTATAATAATATTATTCGATAACGTAGGGGATAGCGGCGCGGGTAGTTCTATTTTTAATTTTAACGTTAGGTAGCGAAGGGGGATAATAGATAATATTTATTTAATTAAATAAATAATAATATTAATAAACTTTAATAATATAATATACTTTAAAATAATAGAGCTATAATATTTAATCGATACGTTATTGTAATGTAATATTGTAAGCGATATTATTATATACGTACGTTACGTACGTTGCGTACGCGGTTTTTAAAATTTTAAAAATTACTAAGACCCGCTTTCTTTTTATGAAATGTGACGTGTATGCAAAGTATGGGGTTTTAGCGGGTAAAACGGGGATTTTTATATGTAGGTGACATCGGCTGTCAAAGGGTATGAGGGTTGGGGTTTTGTATGGGACCTGACTATAGGGAGGGTGTAGCGAGATTTAGGGGTGGGTGTGAGGAGAATAGCTTTTAATCTTTTGCACCAAGGTACCTCTATCTACTACGTAAGAGCAACTTCGTATATACTATACAAGCAACTAGGCCAAGTTATCTATTTCTCTATAGAGGTATCTACCTCCATATCCCTCTCCGTGTGCCTAGCCCAAACCACAATCCTAGCCGGGCTATTCATCGCAAAGTCAAAGATGGTCCTGCTGACCAGGTACACGCCAGTTTCAAGTCCATGTTCCGCGTACCCGTACCGCTCCTCGCTGATGCGCGCTTTGTAGGGTGCATCGCCGGTGCCATGGACCAGACGCTAAAACGGGCGTTCAAGCGGTGCTGCGTAGATTTGGTTACCTCTTCAGTGACTTGAGGTAAAGCCCGGCTGCCTGGGTGGTTCTAGCACTTCCAGGGTTGGTGTATGTGTTGGAAGATTCATCGTTAGAGGTATCAGCATTGATGCCGGCTTTGCGGTTATCAGCCTCAGTCCCAGCGTTTCCGCCACCGGTACCGCTACCAGTACCAACACCACTCTTCCTCTACCTCCTCTGCCTCTTGTATACTAAGCCGCTCCATCCGCTCAACATCCCTCCGCAAATCCTCCCAGCTGCGGTCCCGGTCTGGCAACTCCCGCACGATTTTCTCGACCGCTGTAACGAAGTAGTCTTGCCACGACTGGCCTACTTCGTGGTCTATAGTGGCTACGCGCAAAAGGTAGGCTTTGGTGAGGTCGACGAGAACGTCGGAGATTGGTATGGTGAGGGGTACCGTTTGGGGGTTGATGTGGAGCAGGTACAATAACCGGCCCATTGGGTCTAGGGCTTGGGGTAGGTCTGGGATCTCTGCAGGGTTTGGGTTCAGTGGGTTGTAGAGGTAGTCTAAGGATTCCATGGTTGGGGTCTTGTGTTGATGGGGCTTGGCACTTTGGCTGGCGAGGTGTAAAGGTTTGTTGAGGTTAGGTAAGGTTGTGGGGGTCGTTGAAGAAGGTCGGTAGAGCTTGTTGGCGACGGAAGAGGGGTTGTTGACGTGGAAGTGTCTGGGGCAGAAGGTGGCTTCAGTACATGTACCGTTTGCCTGAATAAGAAAACAATTTAAAACAACTTCATGAACCTAAATCTGCCCTAGATTCTAGGATCGTACCTCTAGACTTGAAACTCGCCAGACAATGCACAAAACCTCAACCTAGCAGCACAACGCGCAACCTAACCATCCCCAATCACTCACTCATCGTTCCTCCCATTCTTCCTTTCAGGTCTCATCTCAATCGTCCCCCTCCTTCCACCCTGAAACGAGACATCAACAAACGTAAACGCCCTCGGATCTTTCAGCTCAATCTCAATACAACCCTCGTCCTCATTCTCAGGTTCCTTAATCGTGTATCCCCCACCACCACTATCAACCTTGACCTTCGAAGCCGAGTTCATCACCGCCCTATACCCCTTCGGAATGTCCACCTCAAGCTCGTGGTCAAAGCAGGTCAAGCTCGAGCGCCGAAGTCGTTTACGAGACATGGCTATCTGCGCCTCTGCTTCGTCCATCTCATCCTCATCCTCATCCTCATCCTCGTCCTCATCCTCATCCTCATCCTCGTCCTCGTCCTCGTCCTCGTTGTACTCCTCTTTATCGTCGTCGACGTCGTCCCGAGAGACAAACTTCCTATCCATTGCGTCGCACGCAAACCTCAGTTCGGGGATCGTGGACGGCAAGTTGTCGACGACGTTGCGGAGGGACTTGACAAAGTAGTCGTGCGTGAGCTCGTGGCGGCCGGGACGGTTCTTGAATTTGGGAATGCCCGCGGGCCGGAGCTTGTTCCATTTGATGGCGAAGAGTTGGATGATGGTCTTGAGGTCTTGTTCGAACTCGTCGCTGTGGGCGTTGTTGCCTTGTCCGGTGAGGAAGCGGGAGAGGATCTCGGCGGCCTTTTTGTCGGTGAGGGGCCGGGGCTTGGGGGTGGGCTTGGGGGTGGGTTTGGGGTTGGGCATGTTGACGTTGTTGGTAAGGATCGGAGATGAGTGGTGGTTTTGTGATGGAAAGGGGAGGGAGTTTTGGTCGATTGAGGTTCTTGAGGGGGTTCTTATACGAATGATCTTTGCAGCTTGATGCAGTAGGTAGGCAGTTGCTGCATGCTTCGGGGTTTCCAATGCACCTTCCGCCGAAGGCCGGCGACCGCGCATCCAGCCGACATGTCCGACTTGTCGCGCAAGAAACCTCAGCGGAAACGAACAATTGGAGAGTGAAATATTGAACGGCAACTTGAAAGTAACTTTGCAAAGAAATATGGAGTACTTTAATTACTTTCATGAACGTGAACCTATGTATAATAACGAGTGTCTCTTAGTGTCCGCTTTCGCATCTCCCAACCCACCTCCCAACTCCCCCGTAGTGCGGATGTTTGTCCTACATAACCCCCACACCAGCGGGGTTCTTCCAACCAAACAAGCTAATGCCTGCTTAGCATAGTGGCTAATGCGTTGCACTTGTATAACCACTCCGCTCTTCGGAACGGAGCAACGACGACATGCAAAGATCACAGGTTCGATTCCTGTAGTAGGCATTTCTTTTTGCAATTTTTTATGCAACTTCATATTGCTTTTCCGCCTCTTTTCCAACACCCGTCAATGTCATTATTTCGCGCTGGGATTGGGAGGCATAAATTACTCTCGACGCTCAATATAAGATCTAGGGTTCGAGGTTACTACCGAGTAATAGGGCGGACGGACGGTTAGTATAAAGGACTTCCTCTATCTAGCGTACGAGCGAGGTAAGAGAAGATGAGGACCGTACGCACGTTAGTAACGAATAAAGATGGATTGTAACAACTTTTATCGGGAAGGAGTTATATAATAGCTGGACATGGATGGAGGAGGTGAAAGCCAAGACCTAGTCTGGTCTGTCCTACATCCGTCCTCTAGACACACTAAGTGGCTCAGTACGTACGAACGAGGAGACTTGATTTATCTTTCTCTTTCCAAACGATATTTTCACTGTGTCTAGATGATTTCAAGTCCCGTTTACTGTGTTTCTGTCACTGTCACTGTCACTGTCGCTGTCACCACCGATATCATCACCAACATCATCACTACCCAACGCCATCTTACTCATTCAACATCTAAACCTTCCCATCCAACCAACTCTATCCCCCCTACCCAAAAAAAAACCCTTCTACGCCCTCCTCAACTCCTAAAATAAGACTCATACATATCCCCCAACGGCTCCTCCTCTTGCCCATACCCCCGCCCCACAAAATCCTCATCAAAATCCAACCTCAACATCCCATTATTCCCCCTCCAAGCCTCCCAAACCCCCTCCCGCGCCCCCTCCCCCCCCTCATCCCCCTCGCGGTTCCAACCCCCCCACATCCTCCCCTCCACCTCTTTTTTTTCTCTAAACCCCATCGCCCGCATCCACTCCCCCTTCCACTCCCTCTCCACCTCTATCCTCCTCGGCCTTTTATACCGTACCCTCTCCATCCTATACGTCCTTTGCACCCAGAGCTTATCCTTATCCATCTCCGCCATCGGGTCCGGAGGATGTTGGTGGAAAGCGGCGGTTATCGGTCGGCGCAGCTTGCGGAGGTATAAGGAGCGGGCTTTAGACCGAAAAGTGGCGCGCCCGGGGACGGGGATGGCGTAGCGGTTGTGAATGGGGTGGGGACCCCATTGGGAGTGTTTGAGGCGGGATTTGATCAGGTAGGGCATGGTGGCGATGCGTTGGTGGAGGGTGGAGTGGAGGGTTGGAGGAGCACCATGTCCGTGGGGGGGTGGGGGTTGGGCGGCTTGGTTGCGGTTGTGGAGGAGGAGGAGGGCGAGGTTGTTTTGGGGGTTTTGAGCGGCGTTGTTGGGGTTGTTGGGGTTGTTTTGGGGGGGTTGAGCGGCGTTGGCCAAACGGATGCGGGCCTGGGCCGCCTGGGCGAGACGGGTGCGTTCGGCGTTGACGTGGTAATCGGCGATATCGATCATGGTGTTGTGGAACCAGGCGCTGTTGGGCGCGAGGCTGAGGTTCCACCCGTCTTCCTTCCACCGGCGGTACTCGTACGCGACGCGGTTGTCGAAAAAGTGCTCGGCGCGCTCGGCGAAGCGGCTGAGGTCGCACATGTACGCCACGTGCCGGAAGCGCCTGACCACGTCGATCAGCTCGCCCGAGTAGCGCGCCTCCCGCCGCAGGTACCGGGCGTGCCGGTCGTCCCAGTCGGTCGGGTGCTGCCTGTGGTTGAACATGGGCACCTCCTCGAACCCGAGGCCCGCCAGGAGCAGGTGCACCAGCGTGAGCCCGAACTCGGCCTTGTCCCTCCACGTCTCGTAGTCGGGCATGTCCGGGCACGCGTCGAGGCCCCAGCGCCGGCGGACGTGGTTCCTGTCGTGCTCGTTGAAGGCCACCCCGAAGTCGCCCAGGATCACCTGCGGGAAGTTTTCGTCAAAGTGCGCGAGGCAGTGGGCCTCGGCGGCCGCGTCGTGTTCCCGCTCGTGCTCGGTCGGGAAGTGAAGCCAGATGTTGGCTTGGTGGGCGTCGTAATGCGACACCTTCGTCCAGGTGCGCGCCCGCTCGTCTTCCTGCCTGTTCCACTCGTCTTCTTGGTCGCCCTGGGGGGGAGGGCCCCGAAGCGATCCTCGCGGCTGTGTCTTGTCGGGCATCGTCCGTCCCGTGTGCATGTACTTGAAGGCTCGCCCGACCTGGGCGATGACGTGCCAGATAAAAGGCTCGGGAACGGGTTTCTTGAGGTCCTTGTACCGCGCAATTACGCCCTCCACGGTGCCGCCGTTGTAGAACTTGCCAAAGTGGGTGATGTTTTGCATGTCCGAAGGGTAGTCGTGGATCTGGTAGGCGTGCGTCTGGGGGAAGCACGTCATGAGCGGATTCCACGGGAACCGGAACCCGCCTCTTGTTACCCGCTGCGTGCGGTTGTCGGGCAGGTCCATGAACCGGATCTCGCCGGGGGGAAACGGTCCGCCCACCTGTTCTTGTGGGACGTTGGGCCCTCGACGATGGAAAAGTGTGGTGCGCGGGGAGTAGATGAGATCAGACTGCCAATACCCCTTGATCCGTTTGACGACGACCAACTCGCCGGTTCCGTGGGTCCGCCACAGGCCCACGCTCACGCCGGTTGCGGCATCGATGGAATACGATTTGAGCCAGCTTACAAAGAGGAGTCTTATGCCGTCCGGTCCACATTCGTTCTTGTTTATCACGGGACCCTGGTAGTTCTTGGTGCCGGGACGCAGGTATGCGTTGGACTCCGGGTTGACCCACCCGTGTCTGAGCACGTCGGGCGCGCGCATCGGGTAGCTGACGTAGGTCAAGTGATCCAAAGGCCATTCTCGCTTGATCTCCTCCGTGGCGTCTTCCTTGCGGTCGTTGAACTCTTGGTTGCTGTAGCAGTCGGCGGGTCGGTTGTCCATCCAATCCTTGTCGTCGGGGTCTTCTTCATCGTCCGGGTCTTGGGCAAAGTTCAAGGGCGGGCATTCCTGGTGGATGCCTTTGAAGGGGTAGTGGAGGGGAATGAGAGGAGGTTCCCCTTGTGGAGGGTCGGGGACGGGCTCGAGGTAGGCGACAGATGGGTCACGAGCGAGCTCGTCTTCGAGAGGTTGGTTCAAGTAGGAGAAGGTTGAGTCGACGCCGCCGGGGTGGTGCCAGTGGAAGCCCGAGGAGGGCGAGATGGGGGGCAGCATTGTTGCAGTTGCTGTTGCTCGTATGTAAGGTGTGATGTGATGTGTCTGTTGTTTCCCGGTTTGGGTGTAGGTAGTGACACGGTGTCTAGTCCAATGATGGTCAACGTGAAAGAACAAGCAAAACTGAACAACAAATGAAAGTCAGATTGGAAGCGGATGGAAAGATTGGTCTCGTCTATAGAACAGAAACGAACAGCACTGAACAGCATCTTGGAGCAATTCGGTGGCATGTTGCTGTTTATCAAGACTCGACTTGCACAAAGGGGTTTGTCCTGGCCTTTTCCCCAGAAAACAATGGCCTTGCAACATGTGCTGTCGACAAAGAGGAGAATCCCGCGTCCATTGTTCCGACCAAGTTAATTATGGCATAGGACTTTGTCTCATGGTACAAAGACTCGGCGAGCCTGTCTATAAGTGGAAGTCAAGCAACATGTTCCATAGCATAGGCCTGTGTCATGCAGCCATTCCGCCATTCCTTGAACCGCGTTGAAGCGTCGAGTGTCTCGGCTATAGGCTTGTACCTAGAAAAGATGGCCGGTGTCCGGTTCTCAATGTTTGTCGGAGAGCAGGGTTGGGATTAGTACTACTCTAGTCTAGTATTTGACCAGTACTAGTACTAGAGGTCTAGTACTAGTACTAGACCCAGTACTAATACTAATTAGTACTCTAGTATTTTAGTAGTACTAAAGTATTTTTAGTATTTTCGAAAAAAAGTTATTATATATTATATATACTATAAAGGAAGCCGGTTTTAATGGTATTATTATTTTTAGAAAAAACCTATTTTTCGTAAAGTTATAAAGGAAATAAAAATACTAATTAGTACTAATTAGTACTACTAAAATACTAATTAGTACTAGAAATACTAGTCTAGTACTAGAAATACTAATCTAGTACTAGAAATACTAGTCTAGTACTAAAAATACTAGTCTAGTACTAAAAATACTAGTCTAGTACTAAAAATACTAGTCTAGTACTAAAAATACTAGTTTAGTATTTTTTAAAATAATATAAAATGTTTTATTGTTTTATATAACAAAATAAGTTTAAATAACAAATAAATATATATAAAATATATGATTTAATAATATATAGGATTATTTTTATATTTATATTATAAATATTTTATAATTAATATTTAATTTGTATATTATTAAAGTCGTTATAAAAAGAATTTATTATAATATATATAATATATTTATATATGTATAAACGTTTTATAATAATTTTAATATCAAATAATCTATTCTACTTATTCAATAATTAATAAACCTCCTCCTTATATATATTTATATTTTATCCTTTTTAATTCGCATATATAAAACTAATTTATTATAATTAATAAAAAAGAAATAAAACCCTTGCTTCTATATATATAAATATATATATTGAATTTCTTCAAAGTAAGCCTTATAAGGCTTACTTTGTTTCTTTAGCCTTTTTTGTTGATTCCAATGGTGTTCTAAAGCCTATTTATTCAAAAACCGTTTGATACAATCCGAATTATCGCACACCCAAAGGGCTTCACCGTTATTAACCTAATATTTCATTAGTAATAATATAAATAAAAATTATTTATTAATATTTTATAATAATATTATAAAATATTTGAAATAGATAAGGAAAGAAGAAAATGATGTAGAAGAGGTTGGAAAAGAAGGAAATGACGTAAGGAAGAGGATTTGGAAGGTTTAGAAGATCTAGAAGGCTTCGAAGGTTAAGAAGGTTAAAAAGGCCAAGAAGGCTAAGAAGGCTTAGAAGGCTAAGAAGGCTAAAAAAGTTTAGAAAATTATTATTATTATTATTATTATTATTATTATTATTATTATTATTATTATTATTATTATTATTATTATTATTATTATTATTATTATTATTATTATTATTA